AAATATTAGATACTTACTCTCATATTCCCAACCAGCCCCACCTGTAGAAAAAGAAAGTCTGCATCCTGTGCCTTCAGAAGTTTCAAGTTTAGAGGTTCTCTCAATGCCGTCCTGGTACCAAAAAGATCCAATTGATAAAATAATTGACCTTTATCTTGTTCCAGAAGTAGAGGATGGTGACCTTAATGCTGAAGTCACTCTGAAAAGTGTGATCGATAGATACTTAGAAGAACTCAAGCTTGAAGAACTAGAATCCGTCAACCATGCATGCCATTATAAAACTGGTGTTGGAAAAGATAAAAATAATGGAATTGAAGTTGAAAAAGCTAATTGTAAGACATTTGAATGGCATTTGAAAAGTGCTGAAAATTGCAATTCGGATAGGCAAAACAGTTTTGAACTCTGCTATGAAAAGGAAACTGAAGATCTACTGGAACCGGATAAGAACCATTTTGAAATTGCAGTTGAAAAAGATGGACATAAAGCCTTCATTTATTATTAAAAATCTGCGGATATAAGACCTACCAAAGAAACACATAATGTTGGCTATTGTTATAAAAAAGAAATCGATATTGAAGAAGATGTACAACTGACCTTGGAATGGTACTTAAAAATAGCTAAAGATGGTTGATAATCAGTGTTGGAAAACCTGGATGAAGCCTGCGAAGATTGGAATAGAAGAGTTAATGAATACAAAAGGTCGATCCAAGCCAATATAAAAACAATAGAAGACCCTTACCTCATTGAGCCTGGTGACTGTTACAAAAATGGATCATATTTAGAACAAGCAAAAGATGGTAATATAATTAAACAATTCGACCCCATTGGAGAAATTTAAGGTGAAAAAGAGGATGAATTGAACCAAGTCGAATTTGTACCTCCACAAGGCTTGATACTTGATGCTGCTTCCAGTAAAGTCATAGAACAGTCTATGAAAAAAGGTGAAGAACATAAGAAGAGCCTTGAAACATATATGTTGAGGAAGGTCTTGAGTCAGAAATCTTGGCCTACTGAAGAAAAGAAGTTGCAGTTAGCGAAGTGAGATGAAAACCAATCTGCCAAGAAGAATCGAGTGAATAGATCTACACTGTACTTACCAAAATGGAATGAAACCTTGGTATATGACCCTGAAGGGGGATGACATAACTGACCCTTTGTCTTTGTTTTTGGTTACATACAACAGTTGTACACATGAGATGAGGCATATGGCAAGGGTTGAACCTTTCATTTTGGATGTAGACGTTTGTCTTAAGTATAGTGTTAGGATAATTAGTGAAAAAAAAAAATATATATTATTTTTATATAAAAATGGGTATTACATTAAATGCAATCATAGATAACATCATAATTTCATTCTTTATTGATGTCAATCCTGTACCTCACACTTTCGATGACTCATGATTATTATATAAGATCATGTGTGGGATGCATGACCTAAGCAGGAAGGAAATGTGATGACAGATATTGTGATACCAGATATCATGACTGATCATATGAAAAATGCATGAAATTCAATAAGTGCAATAAGTAACATTTAGGATCGGAAAAGGTATTTCAGATCCGAAGGAGTAGAAAAGAGATAAAGAGAGGAAATAACAGATATTAAATAAATACATGTAAATAGATTAATTAGTTTTAATGTATATGTTGCATTTGTAAGCAATGAATTTTATATAATAAATAAAGGCCAAAATGGCCTTTTGGAGCAGTACGCTTCATTTTGCTTTATTAAACAATAAATTCCAATACCCTACATTGTACTTAATAAACACTAATACTAATTACTATTATAAACCCTGTAAACTCCTGTAAACATTACTGTTCAAACCCATAACCACATGACTGACCCTATTTGCATTCGTTAACCCAAAGTAACCAAAGCCTTTTTTGCCTACAAGCCAAATCTAATACCCTTTTTCGAAAAGATTACTTGTTGTATATTACATGAGGTTTTGAATTGTAGAGTAACAAAGTCGCAAATTTCCAAACACAACAATATAATTGATATTGAAGCAATTAAAAATTAAGTTCATATAATTTCTCACTTTGTTAAAACTAATGATTATTTAGTAAATAAATATATTGTTTAATAATATTTATATATTTATATTTTTAAAAAATTTCTAAGATTTTATATTTTTATTATGTATATTTTTAAAATT